AACCAACCAACCAACAAACAGACAAACAAAATCCTGAAATTCTTACATTTGTGGTAGAGAAAATAGCCGGCTTTCACTACAGCAGGTACTAATTTGAAGGAGAAACAATCATGCACTGACAAATCATCCTTTCTGAATGTTTTTTCTTACTTTCAGAGGCCCTGCTTAGAGCCATGGAGAATGAAAAGGAAGGTTGGAAGGTWCTTCCTACGGAGGATGAAAGGATAAATTATCCTCAGGTATAAAGGGAATTCCAAGYAGCAGACAACTTCTGTGATTTCAGGGAAAGCCCAGGATTTGAGCTGAGCCATTCCCCAACAAAGCAGCCCTCAAGACCTTCTGTAACTACATCACTAGCCATTTATGCCATAAATAGGCTGAACTTTATTATCCTCGTTAGAAGCTTTTTCATTGCCCCATCTTCTCTAAGTTTCTGAATGAATTCTCCCATTTCTATATAGAACTACTTCGACAATAATCACTTTCAAATKTACCTTCTTGTTGTAGCAAAACCAAGCAATTAGATGGCAAACAATATAAAAGTTGGACAAAGATGACAAATACTGTAGAAGTTGGTCCAAAGTACAAAGCAAAGCCTATGTGCTGTGACTAGTGATCCTCAAAGAGCTGCTCCAGGGGTCAACTTAGCAAATGCAAATAGGTAAACTTCCCCATGAGATGACACAGATAACAAACCCCAAATATTCAAGAACAAGTTAACTATGAAAATTCAGTTCCCAAAGATTAAAAATAATTATTTTTTAACAGTTAGAATCAGGCAGGAATCCTAGCTGCAACCTCTCCCTAGAGCAAGCTATTTTCTAAAAAGCCTGCTAAATTTTTCAGTGCTCTACTTCGCACTAGAAGGCTCTCAAAACTTAACTGTATATTTTCACAGAGGTAGAATAAGCCCTATCCAAGGATGCATTCCACTTTTAAAACTATTGGGTGAATTCCTTTTGGTTTAGATATTCCTATGTGACAAAAACCAACATTTAATATCCAAGACCAGTGAAGCGAAAGCTGCTGATAACTTGAATTTTCAAGGACTTTATACAGGAGTTAATCATTTTCTAGTAATATCTATCTTTATGCTGACATTCTCCTAGTACTTGGAGAAAGACAGAAGACAGAAAGATGGTAGTAAAACAATACAGGCCTGTTACAAAAGAGCATCGATACAGATGGGTAACCTCTGTCTTACTTCAAATAGAGGTTAGGATTTTTGTTAAATTTTGTAGTAGATAGGACTATATTGCAGCAGTATCACCAGAAAAACATCAAAAAGACATCAAGAGGGACTCCACTCTGGGAGTGATTACTCTTCAGATCAATAATAAAAAACAAAAACAAAAACCTGACGCATTGAGAGGAGGAAAAAAAGAATCCCTTGATCCCAAATGCATGAGAAGCAGCTTTGCTTCTCAACATAACAAAAAATGGCCAAATACTACTAGACTCGTTATAATCTCTTGAGAAAAGCATTTCTCTTGTGCCAGCAGATAGCTACATTAACAGAACTTTTGCCATTAGCTTGAAGAGCTTACTATTTCACCCTTCTTTACAAAATAGAAAGAATTAGTATTTCACTTCACGTTTCAATACCACAAGGAAGGCTTAGCTTACAAGTCCTCAAGCACAAACACCATATTCTATGGCAGCACGAAGATGTATGTGTGCTAGGAAAGCAAGAGTAGGACTTGAGGGTTTTTGTTTGTTTGTTTTGTGTTTTTTTTTTCTAGCAGAGTAGAAGACTTCAACCCTAATGCTCTTTCTTAAATCATAAAAGACACTTATCTACTTATCTCTGCACAACCAACCACATCTAAGGAACGTATTAACTGCACTGCCTTAACACGTTGACATCACAGGTAGGATTAAAGAGCAGGCTCGCACCAGAGCACTGTAAGAGCTAAATTCAGAATGGCAAGTGACACATCACATCACTAGGTTTAGTGTCATTTTATAACACAGACCTTCCTCGGGAGACTTGCATAATGAAAAACTTAAAATACCATGTRAAATAAGCACTCACAACTTTGCTATCTTGTCCTAACAGTAAGCCCATTTACAGTTCTGCTTTAGAGTCCAACACAGTGGAAAAGGGGAAGGGAATGATTCAAGGATTGATTCTCTAGCAGGCTGACCAGAAACTGCTGAAAAAGATGCCAAGGGGCTCAGAGGACTTAAGCAAGAGCTCTTCTTCCACAGCACCGAGCGCTTCTGCAGCGCCTTTCCAGCTCTCCAACRGGGCTCCGGGGAGGCACTCTCGTGGAGGCAGGTGCTCGCTTCACACGACTTTGGGAAAAAAAAATAAAGAGTGGGAACTTATGGGAGAAGAGGAAGGACAGTAAAGCTCTGGGTTGCAAGACAAGGCTCTRTATTCTCGAGGATACACTAACATTATTATATTCTCAGCAGTAATGATTTTCCATGTATTTATATGATCTCAACAGCAGCCTTTGTATGCATTTCCAAATACTGATCTCAGATCCACGTTTATCATTCCAACTATAATTCGCATCACAGAGGCGACTAAAGCCATCTTTTTTCAGTAGTACAAACATAGAGATCAAATTTATTAGACTGGGCCCTTTACTTCCTTATTTTGGAATATTTTTTGATGACAAAAGTAAATGCTTACATCTTTAATACAGAAAAGATGTTACATCTCTAAAGAGCTGAAAGCATCTGCTGTAATAATAAGAAAAAATGTAGTTTCACAAGATCACAAATCATTCCTGGAGAAAGGCTGCTAAAGAGAAAGAAGAAGAACATTCAGATGATTTCATGATTAACCATCAGATTACTGAATTCCTATGCATATAACAGCAGCTCACAACACACAAGGCATTCCTGCTATCAATACAAGGGACTCTGTCAGCTTTAAATATAGTCCATTGCAAAAAGAAAAAAGAAAAAAGAAAAAAGAAAAAAAAAAGAAAATAAGAAATGTTACCACTGAAAAAAGCTTCATGCCACAGAAGGAAGGGAAATATCTATCTGTTGCAATAGATATAGGTGAACAGCCAATGTCAGAGAAAATGGGATGCAGAAAACATGACAAGAAGTCTCCTCCAAACCTCAGATACATCCTAATCTCTGCATTAGTCCACAAGAAATATTATTACACAGAATAACAAGCAAGCATGTTTTCAATCAGACGAAGATAGTAAAAGAAACAGCAACTTGATCCTTATAAGTATTAAAAATTTAGTCCCCACCTGCCATCTGTCATTTTGCTTTTTGAAGAGAAAACCGAGACCATTTTTATATTTTGAGAAAGAAGCTAGACATTAGGCTGTGCTTATGCTATAAGCTGCAGCCTTCAAGCTTTCACTGACTGGGGTACCAACAGCATCAGGGAGGAAAGAGCCCGGAATGAGCATGAACTAATCACCAAAGCAGCTCCCCAAGAAAGGTCTCAGAGAAACATTTCAGTACGTACAGCAGGCCATCAATTTGATATTCAGCTTCTACTGTTATGCTAAGTATAGTCGGTTATTCAAGTCTAGTTGTGTACTAGATCTGAAAGTTCAAGCCTTTCTACTACCAGAAAGCCCTCTGGAAACTAACTGTGCATCAAGGGCACGCTCTGCTCACCAAGAAGCAGGGCACACACTCTCCCTCCTCAGAGGGCTGGRGGACTTGGGCATGAAAAATCCGATTCTTCTTTTGACTTTTCTTCCATCCCACCTTCATGAGACACTGGATTTGCTAGGCTTGCCCAAAATATTAGCCCATAGATTCAGAATCACAGAACTAAGGGATATTAAACGCTGTCCCATCCCAATCCCACTGGGATCAGTGGAGRAATACCGAGAAAAGAAAACTAAATACAGCATTTATTGTAAGCAGAACTGCAAAATTTCTCAGGATGCTTATTAAACAAAGAAATTGAAAAATGATGCATGGGCTAGGCTAAAGCTAGTCCAAACCTGTTACACACTGTAATCACACACGATTATACGTACATCTTAGCCACAAATATATGCTTACAAGCACTAGATTGAACAATAGTCAGAAGGAAAAAAAGGTTTCCAAATACCTCCAGAATGCTGTACTTCATATATCTATTTATCTGTGTTGATACTCTTGATTCCTTAATACCTTCTGATAGAGGGGATATTTATTTAAATATTCTATTTTAGACATGTGGTGAGACATGGGATGCTTGAAATTTGGGGCTTTGTTGTTTCACACAGAGTTAGTAACACAGATGTTAAATATTCTTTTCATTGCTATATTATCTGGGTTGCATTCATTGAGTAGAGGTGACCAAAACCGCAGCTCCAGGAGACAAATCAAATGACAGGACAGTTATTTGGGGAAAAAAATCTCAGTCTACAAGTTTCCAAACATACACATTAGTGCCATGTAAATACTATCATCTCTCGTTAATTAGTGCAGAATTCCATAAAGAACAAAAACTAGATATTACCTTTCTCTTAGAGATGATCGACTTAGCACTGAGCTTAAGGAGTGTTTATGAAATGCTAAAGGTGCTGAACACGTTAACGAACCAGTGGAACTGCACTGTCTATTCAGTCGACCTGAGATCACACGCTCATTAGAAGAACTTTCAAGCTCTTTTCCAGGAGTAGATTTCACCTGTTTAAAAAAATAATAGAAAAAAACTGGCTAAAGTTCATTATGCATATGAAAATGTATACTTTACAAGCTTTTAATTCTTTTGTAAATCAAAAGGATGATTTTGTAAATCAAAAGAAGTTACCCATCAATGTAACAATACAAGAATATCTGCCTATGGACTATAATTTCTCAGAAAAGTCCTGATCTCAAGCTCCAGAAGCTCTTTCTGGTGCCATAATTTCTATCAACAAGTGTCAAAGGGCTCTATTAATATCTGACACACCATTTAGCATCACAGCCTGTTTACTGCCTTTGCCTGCACASTGTAAATATTCACTTTCTACTCACTCTTTACTATACTAGGTTTCCGCTTCTCCTCCTTGCAAAAATACTATAAACCTATACCATTGGAATGTGTCCAYAGATTACCTCATTGTACCCAAGAGGGGGCTTTTACAGCAATGGTTTTCCAAAGCTGSAGAAACAAACCAGGATTTTCACTAGCCCTTTCCCAGCTGCAGCCATGGAGGGCAAATAAACCCATCAGTTTAAGAGGTACTGATTTTAGCTACACAATTAAAGACYAGTCAAACACAACCTGATGGCTAGACAAACTTTGACAAAAAACAGTGAAAATAATGGCAGTTTTATTAAACACAACAGTGATTTCCCACATTAACATTTGCATTTCTCGATGAGCCATTCTCAGGTCCTCTGAAACAACACAATGCTAACTACATCTAGTTTAAAGCTGTATATTATTTTGGAAACAAAAAGATGAATTTTTCTCCGTCTCGACTTTGACAGAATCAGCAGTGCTTAGAGATATCAGGAACAGGATGGATTAATTAATCCATAGCTCAGCTATCTGCATGCACCAAACTGTCTGCTGCTATTTCACATTTATAGGGGAAAAAAAAATAAATTAAAAGATACATTATAGAAATATTTAGTATAAGTTTTCTACTTTCTTTACAATTTCTCATTTACAATCTGTATGTGGCAAAACATCTTAACTTCACACGGTATACCAAACTGAAACCCCCCACAGTAAAAACTGAAAAGCTGGCAAAAGTGTGTTTAATTGTATAAAATGTTATCCTTTTAATTCTCTTTTCTTCTTCCTTTCTGTACCATTGCTTTTACCAGGCATTTGGCAATTAAGAGGGCATACACAAAATCAAACGGCGACAATCCCAATTTCTTCAGTACTTCAGAAACACAAGCAAAATCATCAAAATAAAGAAAAAGAAAAAAAGGTTCTCAGATATTAATCTTCAGATCCATGCAGTGCACAAGCAGCTAATATCTGAAAATGCAAGTGTAAAAAAATAGTATTGGCTTGCCATTTATATTAGTGCCATACTCTTCTGGAATTAACTGTGCTCTGAAAATGACTGGGAAAGTGGTTGTAAACTGCATTTAAAGATCTTCTACAGCCCTGTCACAAGCCTTAATGCCAAGCAGAAACAAGTTCTGTAACTGCAGGCATCAATATTTTATAGATTGTTAACTTCCACATTTGTGTTTGTAAATCATCTGTCAACAGGGCTAGGCTGAGTTATACCAGCTTTAAAACGTCCTTTGTCTTGTTTTTGCTGCTACTGGATACTTCCACTGGGCAAATGTTCAGAAATACCTACAAAGGACTACGTGCCTTATTCAGAGCTTCTCAAAAAAATCATTTGCAAACAATGGCACTTCAGGCTACTCACTTTGGCTTTCTTGGGCCTGTAGCTGCCGAGAAGAGAAGGATCTGGAAAAAGAAAAAGAGAAGAAAATTAAAAAGGAAGCATCTCAGAAGAAATTCAAAAGAAAATGTTACTTCTCTAAATATTTTGCAATCTTTTACAAAATAGTTTAGCTCTTCTTTCAAAAAGCCCAATGCCAATTTAGCTGTACTATATATTTTGTAATTCTAAACTGACTTAGAAATATTTCAGGACTTTCTTCTGTTGAAAACAATGACTTCATATTTAATGCATTACAATGTTTACAATAATGCATCAGTATAGGGACTGCCTACTGTATAGACTAAACAGTACAATCTGTTAAGCTATTAATTGCACGGAATCAATATAAAGTAAAGTACTCTYAAACTGCACTGTCAGCAGTAGGATCTCTAATCCTAAGAATCAATGTTTTTCATAAGTTACAGCTGGGCCTCCAGAGACAGACAAGTAACTGGTGAATCCTCTGGATATTAACAGTAAGGTGTCCAAAAAATTGGTTAGAGACTACCAACACATTTAATAAGTACCTAATAGTATCAGGTGATTGTAGGTTCAGATACTACAGATTCATATACATATCTCCAAAGGGAAAGTGCAACCTTCTAAATACTACATCTAATTCTATTATAAAGAGAAAATATGAAATAAATAATCTGAAATAATTTGCAATATAACTATTTTTAGAAAGTGAGACACAATAATAGTAAGGCAGAGCACAGGTAAAAAATAATGCTCATGAAAATCCTCATATTGTTAGGCATACTAAATAAAGAAAAAGTTTTATAGTACTTCCTTAAATTTGTGGTGTCACATCTTTTATAATAACCTCACTTACTGGTAACAATGAACAGCCAATTGGAAATGCAAGCAAATTCCTGATGCTCACTAATAAAGCTAAGTCCCTGATCTACATCTAACAAATCCCTGATCACTACTCACAAATACTACTGAAATAAACATTATTCAGTTTRAAACTGCAAAGCTGTGAAGTCCTGGAAAAAAAAAATCAACTTTGAATAAACTCTAAAGCTGAGCAGTACACCTACAGATCAAGAGGAAGATTTGATCCACTATCAACTCAGGGAAATACGTAAAGCAAAAAGAGCCCCTAGTTGGACTGTGGGATTTTCTGCTGGTACTTTTAGACCAAATAGAACTAGGTTCTGAGTCATAAGGGGTTAAAAAAAATATCCAAACTCATCTTTTGCAGGAGTGGGGTTTTTCAGTATTCTCACTATTCTTGGGAAGAAAGGACAGCTTCTGCACCTTTATGGACCATTTTTTCAAAACACCTTCACTACATTACTGCAGAAAATCAAAGCTTTAAAGGGAAATACAGTAGCAAATACTAACCATGAATTACCTTGGACCAAGCTTCCACTGTACTTTCTCGAGGAGGACACCAGGTGTGAAGYTCAATACCAGGACTTGGTTGTTCAACCTGAAGCAAAAATACTCTTAAAAGTACTCTCTATTACCCCTTTTCAATCTCTCTCTCTATTTTTTATCTCTATTTTCCTCCATAAGATCAATTGCATAAGATCAATTCCTTCCTAGGAATCTAAATCTCATATCCTATCTCCTTCCTAGGAATCTAAATCTCATATTTAAATAATATTTTCACAACACTGTTCATATGTTACATTCATATTAACCTTACTACACTTAACTAAATGCAGATTTTTTTTCTTTCATATTTATTGTCTATAATGTCTTTATTTAAAAAAAAAACAAACAAACAAACAAAAAAAAACCCAGTTCTAGCTATTGCACATATTTGCTCCAAACAGTTAGGATCTCACTAAGTGCTGCCCTTCTCAATCAAAGGAAAAGTAACTAAAATAACTTTTAAATAAAAACTAATTTTAATTAACACAAAATTTCCAGGACAGAACAAGCCACAACAGTAAAGATGCCCTAAGAAGAACATTCTCCAATCTAGAAAGAGCCATGACATGTGGGAAATGGGACAAGCTTTTCCTTTTTGTAATCAAATCAAGCAATCAAAATCAATAAGGAGTCTTTAAAGATGCAGCAATTAAACTGTGAAATTCACCTAGAGATCAAAAAACACAAGCATTGATTAACATGAGTTAAAAGAAAAATAATATCTGTGAGAGACAGATAAACTGCTGGTTGATGATTGATTAACAGCTTATTAGGGCTTCTCTGAATTTCTAAAAGGTAGCTAGAAGCAGAAGAGAACTTGGAAGAGAATTCCAGAATTTGACAAGACATTACTCATTCGTTTGTACATAAACTATAAAAATGAAATAATGTGAAGAGCAAATTAATTAAACGCTAAATTATCTCAGTGGCTGTCTACAGTTTCAAGCACTTATGACAAGCTATAATGTCAAAGCAAAAAGAAAAAACAGTTCCGTCTCTGCCCCTACATTTAAAGGGGGAATCTTTAAAGAATTACGGCAAGCATAAGAATGTTGAGAGAACATAAATTTGAGAACATGAGCCTCCAAAAGRCTGGACAATTTGGTCTTTAAGCAGTAAAGAGCTTAAATACATGTACTCTAAGTTCCTAATTCCAGAAAAACTGTTCACATCTGGCTAGCAACAAGTCCTTATGCAGGTGCTAAATTCAGGATGCTTACAAACCTCGAGTCAAAGCATCATGGAGTTTCTCTTGGCAAAGGAAGCGTTTCAAAGATCACAGAATGCCAGCATAATAAAAGTTAAAAGAGAGGCAGTGTGCATTTCTGTAATATTACTAGACACTCTTCTTTAAAGTCTAATTCAGGCAATTTTAATACTACTATCAATTACTTCCAATTTGAATTTATACACCTATTATCTTGTCTAGTACACGAGATAAAAAGAAATGGGGCCTCAGAGAATTTAACCAGAATATTCATAAAATAATTTGACTTTTGTCTGTTACTAATGCTGATAAAATATTTTTATTTCAGTCAATTCCACATTTAAAACACTATGTGGCAGACAGTTAAGGAGAGAAAAACTACTCACCTAAACTAAGGWTTGAATTAATTTTTGGAGTAACATTAAGTGAAAAAACAATGCTCTAAACTTAAGTTGGAAGCACTTTGTGGAGAATACATACACGTCTAACTACAAACGGAGGTCTATCGGTTTCTCTTCTGAATTCAAAAGGTCCAAGGTTTAAATGGGACAGTCGCTGCCTGGCTTCTTCTGAGAGCTCACACATTCGTCTTGTTGTGTACGGGGATGGAGAACGTGATTTAGAAGCTATTGTAGGCTGCTCGTAGTTCTTTGTTGCTAGGTTATGCCTGGTTTTCTCAGGTGAAAGAGTGTTTTTCTTTGGTAACCTTGTTTGCAATTTTCCATTTGGGGTTGAGTGATGTATGCGATTCAGATTATCCTAAAGTGAAAAGAGAAATTATCTGGTTTGACAGCAGCAGAACAAAGATCACTGACGATAATGGAAACAGTGAACAAATAATTTTAACARAAATAGATGCATGTCAGCCGAAGTTCGCCTCTCAAAACTATAATCAAGCTGTAATTTGGAAAAAAATAATGTTTCTATAGTTTTGTCTGAAACCAGGAGGAGATTAAAACACACATTGCTAAATGTTACATATTAAGGTTAAGTGCTGATACTTGCCTAATTAGCTTGCTCAAACAGTTATTGTGCAAAGACTATAAAAAATAATTTTTTTTAACAAGTTCACTTATCATAAATCTTATCTAAAATAATCAGATTGAACATAAATAGTTTAACTTTTTGAAAACACAGATCTTTTAAAAGTTCTCATATTTTTAAATAAGTAAAAATGGAAGCTTATTTAGCAGTTTAAATTACTTTTGGTTAGAACTGTGAAAATTCACAAGTGTAATCATATTCTGTGTTGTAAATTTTTTTGCATGATAGTGAATGCAAAAGATCTTTAGAAAGTTATAATCAAAAGCTACGTTTAGAAAAAATTTTAAAGAGCATCTTCTAAAGATCTTCCTAAATAATGCAAACAGCTTTGCAATTGAAAGGGCAAATAGCTCTTTATTCATACAATAGCACTTGACATCCAAGTTATGGATTCTGAGGACAAAAGTGTATAAAATGACATCATTATCAAATATTGTCCAAAATATCAATCTCTGAGAGGATAATATTTTTAAATACTTAGGTAGAGTAGAATAAAGTGGGAGAAAGACCAATTCCACCAACTTCCTAGAAGTAACACAGGATCATTTGTTTTACCAGCAAATCTACCTAAGAACTAGCACTGATCCTTCTTCCAAATAATTAATAATTTTGTGACCTATTTAAGCTTTGGGAAATATTTTCTGACACTGAGTTTTTGTTTGAAATGCATTATCATTCCTTTGTAAATTCTGGCATTAAATGAGCATTCAATTACTCTTCAAGCTTTATAGGTCAAGGCACTTTAGATTATACAACACTCATCAGAACACTCAGTCAGTAGCACCTTTTAACTTGAAATATCACAGTGTGGATAATTAGGCTTTTTGGACAAATTTGGCCCAAATTCCCACATTGTAGAAGGTCAAAAACTGAAGGAATAGCAATACATTTTCTCCCTCTCAGAAACTCTTTTTCAAGCTTGAGGAAGCTGACATTACTCTAGAGTGTGAATGCTGCATGCACTGCTTGAGTTCAAAAGAACCCAGAAGTAAAATCTACCAAGAAATTTCCAATTTGTCTTCTTGACTTTCCATCTACATCTAACAATGAATTAGGCTGAAACTGTGTGTTTGATTTCTAACAGCTTAACTGGCATCTGCACTACAAAGGCAGCTTGTTCATGCTTCCATTCTTCTTATGCCTGTAACTGCAGCACCTGAAAACTGACCAAATTCTCTTCAAGATTAATTTAATTTCACCAGAAGTACTCTGTTCGGCCAGCTTATACTATCCATAAAACTAAATCTTCACAGCAACACAGGCTGATTTTGATGTGCTGTTTGTAATRTATTAAATACTTTCAAAGGACTTTTTGCTTTAAATCATGTTGCCCTTTCTGAAGTCAAAGAAGATCATTTTCCGATAACATTATTGTTTTTACTGATTTTGTTATTCTTCATTTGCCGTTGCCATATATTTCTTTTGTTTAAATTTGGAAGAAACTTAAGAGTGAAATGACAACACTGCAAAAGGGCCCAATTCATCCAGTTCTCCTTGCACACACACACCTACCTCATTTTAATGATGCTGCACATCCACTGCTCACCACAATTTCTGAATAATCTACAACAATTTTGTACAACAGCCTGTGTCCCAGGAGAACCAACCAAAGTGCCACCTGGTGAGACCCAGGAGTGCTACCAAGCAAACCAATGCATGACATTTTTTTTTCCAAGTCTTTTCAGCTACAACCTTTAGCTTCACCTGTTGCAGCATTTCCAGTTTAATACATTTCCCAATGGAAATCTTCTTTTCCATTACTTTTGCAGATATTGTTATGGAAGACAATTAATTGGTTTGTTCTTGATAACATATCTGCTCTGGCTTCACCTACTTTTCATTGTTCCACCTTAATTTTAAGTGTCCATAAGAAATTGTGAGGTGGCATCTCCCCACCCAAAAACACTCCAGGGATTGTCACTTCAGCTGATCATAAGCCAGAGCAGCTGATAATTGTTTCAGATTCAAGGCACTCTCTCCATTTACTGTCATGCGCCAAACATACTCTTTATCATAGCTGATTACAAATTTAATCAAGTTGTCAAGCACCCACGACAACTGCTTTAAGCACAACAAGAGAATGAGAAAAGTTTAAAGTGCGTAGCACATGCAAAAATTGGAACCGGGGCTATCAATATTAAATCTAGAAATTAAATTGCGAACAATTAAATTATGCTAACCTGCATGTGACTCCTTCCTGATCTTAGCAGACTTTCTGTAATAAGGGAGCTTGTAGAAAATCTCAATTTTGGTGCAATTCCCTAGAAGAGAGGCAATAATTGAACATCAAGCTCCAACTCAAGATAAAGGGTATCAAAGAAGTAAATGTCACCTAATGTAACAAACCATTCCTAATTTTAAGCCATTTCCTTTGTTAATTTTAGCCTTTAATAAAGATAATTAGAAAAGACAGAACAGCAATGGTAAATGTCAAGATGCTAACATTTGCATTTCTGACAATTCAATTACAGATGATTATATTGCTTTTGTGCAACAATTAAGGTCTGACTTTTATTTCAGACATTTCTTTGTCAAAACCACTTTTCATTTTTTTCGTGTCATGTTATGTAGCATCAACAAAAGTTGCAGTCATGCTGTAGAAGTTTTATTAATGCTAACTTTGCAAACTTACTCGTTAATAATTTCATTTGTGCCACCTTTCTTATAAAAACATTTTGAAAATTAGTTACTTAGACTGCAAATAACCTTTTGTTTGCAATACAGAAACATGTCTCCCATGCTGTATAATCACATTCCATTTAATCCCACACCTTCTTGCACATTTGGCTGGCAGAAGGCAGCTCTGCTTTGACTGACTTGGAGCCAGTGGGGTCCAGATGAGCCTGCTGGTCTCTTAACACACATGCTGATCAGCCTGAAAATCCTGCAAAACTTTATACGGATAATAGTTCGTGTTGAACCCTTGTTATTTTACTGCTGACAATTTTTATATCTCTAAAAAGAGAGCATTTTTGAGACCTCTACTTTTTTTTGTAAAATTTGGCTAGAATTGGCCAACATGTTCARAATTTACTAGGGCAAATGGACAAAGATATGATACACAGGCCCTCCTTCCCAACATTAAAAATCTATACAAGAGCTAAAGATCCTCTTTTCTGTAAATGAATGGAGGTCATCTGTATGTACATCTTATACAGCTCCGTAGAAGCAAAGTGCCAAGAAGCAAAGTGTCCCTAGGAAACTTTCCATCTTCTTCCTTCCACASATCTTCCTGCACATCCCTGTGTACCCATGTGCATGGACATCCATGCATCTGAATGCACAAAATTACTGAGAACATAAAAGGAGCTTTTTCCTTTTGTGGCTCTAACCCTCTAAAGTATCAGGAGGAACTTCATGTATGAAGGTTACTGCTGAATCAAATAATTCTCTGCCACCTGCCTAAACACACACTGATTTCCCATGGGGGAATATGATACAAACCCATGTTACAGATGGAARTGAAATGTATGAAGATGTATGAAATGAGAAAAATGCCAAGACAGCTCAGTCATGGCAATTAACAGAGTCCCAGATTCAACCAAATTAAGCTATGGCATATAAAAGAGATCTTAAAGCTGACCATCTTTAATCAATTAATTTTTATTACTAATGAATTATCAAGTGCCATCAACAGTTTAAAAAAGAACATATCAGAATTAGTAAGCTATAAAAAGCAGCAGGGGAGCACCTTCTCCTCTTGCAGAGACAGAGAATGATTACAGAAGTGTTAGGAGCTTGTAGCTGAAAGTCACATAAAACCACAGTTCCTTCAGAGCCACGATTTGTGGAGAGGAAACGTGGGATGGCACTTGCATTCACAGGAATGGATATGTCAGAAGTAACTTAGAGCCCTACATCAGAGGTGTTATTCTTTTCTTGGCAGTTCTCAAACTAGGGATTGCTGAAAAATAGTCAGTACAGTATTATGTAGAGATTGAAATTGTGTATAACCCCAAATACATCTGTAAACGAACCTCCAGCGAGGAAGTGCTTAGAACCTASTTCTCTGCCACTTACATGGTGGTACCTGCAGCCCAGGCAAATTGACTTGTCCTTCGGCACTAGTCATTAAAAAGATGTGGAATGGGCACAACAATAATTTCATTACAGAAAARCTGTGAAGATAGTTGATGTTCAGAAGAACCCAAGTTATACAGGAAGTTTAATATGTGCTTTTAACTTCAAGAAGCATGAGGAGAAGTCTATAGCATTATAAAAACTATGTATATATACAATCAGAAGCCTTGTAGTGGTATGCTAATGAAAGATAACGGAGCTAAAGAGAAAACTGTTTTAAGTAACATAGCAAATATTGCATGAGGGTGGAGAACGGAGATAAGAGTATCTATAAGAAGTCACTACTAGTCAAGGTTTAAACATATTCTGAAAGGCAAGGGTTGCAGGGAAATACAGACAAGCCAGCAAAAGCCTCAGCCGGGCCACACTGGACCGGGSGAGATAACTCGAGGCATGTCTTGTATGCACATTGTGTCTGTAAGCCTCATAAGACATTTAGCYAGAGACATTATCAGCCAAGTGCCAGATTTCTGGAGGAGTTCTGATCCTCTCAACTTGGGATTCCTTCCAACTGGCAGATTAACACTGCTAATCAGACACTGCTTGTCGCTGCCTATCTGAACTCCACAACCGTAACCTTGCTGTTGCTACCTTTATTTTTTTAATAAAAGACAATTTTATTGGGAATCAAAATGCCACTGTAGCACAGCTGTCAGTCAAAAACACTCACATCGCAGCTAGCTATAAATAACTTGTTTTTCTGTAGGAAGAATACAGCTAGACTGCCTGATTTCAGTTCTCAAGACCTTGTTTAACGCTTTTTCTTTTGTTTAGCATTTACATACAGTACTTCCTGCTGACAAAGTTTCCAAGAGATATTTGCCAATGAAGCTTAGGGAAAGCTATAAGATATAATCATTTGAGACTCTATTTACTCTGGAGGTAGAGAGATATTTTAAAGCTACTACAGTGTCATCATCCAGGTACACATCCTAATGACTCTGCTATGCATCTTCACATCATGACACATATCAAAGAACAGCTCTGAGTGAAAAAATAATTATTTTTCTTTTGTAGGGACAATTTACGGTGCTGCARAACCACAGACTTTCTCTCATAAAGAATAGCATTAATTCATTCAATAATAACGCAGTATTTCCCAGTGTATTAGCAATTTTAATTGCAAGTGACAGGGCAATTTCTAAAGTTGCCCTTAGAGGGGAAACTGTAGACCAGCAGACAGATACCAATGACCTATCAACCATTTCTCCCTCCACCACCATTTTTTCTTTTTAATTCACTCCCAACGGACAGGATAACTGGGTCCCTATCCTTCCACTCCAAAAGCACTGCCACTCTATTTGTAGAACTCAATAAGAGGAACAAACCTCCAAATGCACCTCTCATTTCATCGTCATCTTCAAAGTATGTTCTGGAGTTAGTCTGTTATCACTCAAGATTCAGCTGCCTTCAACACTAACAATGGATGGTCTAAGATGAATTCATTCTTATCTAATATATACGTGAGTTCATAGCTCCCGAAAATTAACATTAAGTGATTCCACTCATTCCGCCAATAAGTTGTTATTTATCATAATTTTTGTGAAACTGTTACTGTATAGGTATCAACAGGCTGAACAGACCTTAAGAAAAAAAACTCTGAAACTGAATATCAACCACAGAGCACTAAGGCAAATTTCATTTATTTACTATTTTGGTGCTGATTTTGGACCTCAGGAAAGCCCACAAGTGAAAGGGAATAGGTATAAAAGCTGCCCTGCTACTGTCCTAAACAGGATGAAAAGGAGTCTCAAGGAAAATGCTACAAAGAGACCACTGGGGAGGAAGGTTACATAGTTTACCTGTTAAAAACTATCAAGTTGATACCAAACCTCCTTCTCCTCCCACTACACCTCTTCTGCTACCGACTGCATCTTGGCTTGAATTGAGAGAGAGACATGTTATACTGCTGAATTCCAAACCAAGTGAAAACCCCCACTGAATACCTTCTAAAAGGAGCTTAGAAAAAAAAAAAAATATATATATATATATCTTCACCAAAGTTCAGCCCTGGATTAGTACATTCAACCCCTGAAATGCCAAAATCTGTCAGAAGTAATCGCTTTTCATTTGAAGTAGTTCTAGGAATTTCTCCAGTAAAACACACCATATAATAAATACAATCCACAGACATTCACTCACTGTAAAAGAGGAGGACCTCTTCATTAAAATCTCACGATCTAAACCATGGTGCCCACGAGTAAGCTTAGGGTCAGAGAACAGGAAATCTCTTGTATTTTCTTCATAAGTAGCTAGAATTTCTCCCACTAGAAAGGAAATAYATACTTTAATTGGAAAATAGACAATGTCATGGAGTACAGACACCACACACAAGACCATATTGAATCTAAGAAAAATTTTGTTCTTTACAAATTCAACARCTCCATACCACGCTGTGCAAACACCCCACCAAGTTAAATGGGACTCTGCTCAGAAGCAGCCAGAATTCAGTGTGTAAGTATGTTTTACTCTTTACTGTAACAAGTTTACTGTAACAAGTTTATAGAACAGTTAATGCAGACTTTGTAAAAAGGTGTATGAGAAGTTTTCCCAAGGCAATTCTTCAATATTTCTCCTCCTCCACCAGCTCTGCACTCACGCATGGAAGAAGAAACATCTTTTTTTAAGTAGCAGCCAATATCTTACGAAAAATTGTATTATTTTGTATTACTGAACATTCATGCTTCTTAATTTGAAAATGGGCAGTTGAGAAAGAAATGCAGAATTTCCCTAAATCCTGGTTTGCTATTTTTTTTATATTTAGGGTAAAAGCCCCAAAATAGATTACATATATATTTACATACATATATTTATATACATACATATATTTAATTGTGCCCCCACTATCATTTTGTCAGATTACACTGGGCTGTATCACATCTATTTCCAAGTCCTAGAAATTAAATTCCTTACCCAAGATCTTTTACCCTCCCACAACAAAACCCACATTCAGTTCATTTCTTCAAGTGAACAGTCTGGTGAGTCACCTGAGAGAAGCAATTGTTTCCTTGGAACTACTATGGACATGTAACTGAGAGTGCTATTAATACCAGAATTTCCAAATGAGTCCTTTTTCAAACTTGAATTTATTTCTAATAAAATGCAGATTTACATTATTCACGGGAACACTTGAATTTCATTAAAATAGATTTTTATAATCACACAAACCAATAACAGAAGTATGACAAATCACTATTTATTATCTTCATATACCCCAAGAGACATGTAATACTTACAGTGAGGATAAGAGTTTTCCCAGCGGTCACCATTAAAATATAAGGAAAAAAGTGTGCCATTCTGAGAACAAGATTATGCACTCTGAATTTCACAGTCACTTTGCAAAGAATTGTGATGGAGTTAATAAGTGTGCACAGGATGATTTCAGTTTATTTTCCATTTCTAAAGTATTATCACTTTCCTAAGCCTGAGTATGGTACATTTCAATATTTACCCGTTCTCTTTCAAGAATAAGATCCTTTTGATCTATTAACATTTATATTCAGAGGAATATTTGAGTTTTCCATGTTGTTTGTGTTTTGGAAAAAGTGATTGTGATACAATRGGTAATATCCTTATGGAAATTCACTTATTAAAATGTGTAATTTATGATGAGATTGATACAATACCTGGAGGAACAAGTTGTATTAGCTCAAGTATTGTTGTGTCAACTAGAAAAGCAAAGAAAAAAATATTTCATGAGTTAAAAATAATTATGTGAAAAGTAGTTTTGATAGTCTGAAAACAAGAAAAACTATTCAGCAATTTAACCTCATAGCCATGCACATAGCTACACTATTTTCACTACATCAACCGTAAGGGTAAATTAACAACAGCTTGTATGAGTACGTCAGACTAACTTAATATCGATAGCACTGTACAAATACTGACGCTAAACTTGATTTAAAACTTGAAAAAAATTGGCATCAGATAGAATTTATCCTTTGAAAACAGCTTATAAAGAAGATGATGCAAGCTTTGCTGCTTTTTTCAGACAACTGCTACTCTCCAGATAATATCCTAGATATATTCCTGGAGTTTGGGCTCAGTGTCAACACTGTCTCAGTGCAATTCACTATGCTCCACACATTGCACTGTTTACAGCAAATATATTCTATTTTTTAAAAAAAGAAAAGTTCAGGAATCCATGTTTTMTACTCACATTATTTAAAAAACAACAAAATAAATGATCAAATGGAAGAATGCATTATTAGTTTGGATCAGATGGACTTSTGTTAATTAAAATATGGTTTCCCTTTATTCTATTTTAAAGCATACAACACAAATTTCTAGAGGCATTCTCTTAGCTGATGGTATTTTTTGGAAAGTTACTACTAGCCAAAAGACAATAAGAAACTTCTGTCTTTTTGTGTAACAGAATTTTTCTTTTAAACATAGCATAAGTGCTATGGTCTTACTTATTTTTTAATATGCTAGATGTTATATTTTCGTTATCCACTAGGATTTCAGAGACTAGGTTCCTGAAAWGAAAATAATCACACATATTAATCCTCCAGAACATCTTTACAGTCCATGCATGCATGATACTAACCACTAAATATATACGACATAGTATACGTAAAAAGCAGAACTTACGCTCAAGTAACTCCACCAGGTGTCCAGGATCAACTATATCAGGAAATGCCTGAGGAAAAAAAGAAGGGGAAAAAAAGAAGGGAAAACAATAATAATAATAATAATAATAATAAAATCACCAGATGGACCTTTAAAAATGAAACAAAACACACACACACACACACGATGTTATCCTTCATGTCAGATGTTTAGCAACAGTTTTATCACCCTTACGAAAAAGAAAAAAAAATGAAATTATTATTTGGCACATGATTAAATTTATCAAAAGCCAGCAATGCTTGTCATGTTTTCCATAAACTTCAGGGTTCCCTCTCTGTATTTAAATTAGGGGATATTGAGAAGAATTAAACACATGGTGATATAAGTACCGATTGTCTTTCAAGAGTGAAAGATAAATTGCTAATTGTATGAGAATTCTGAGAGATGCAGAATAAGGTTGTTAATACATTAGTAATAGTTTCATTTTCATGAAACTGACTAGTTTTCAGTGGGTTGTTTGTTTGTTTTTGCTCTGTTTTTTAATCCAAATTCCATGTGATTAGAGGTCAAGGAACTTCTGTAAAGAGTCCTACTGGATAGCAAGCAGGTAGGAAGGTAGGACACTTCTCTCTAATACTGCACAAAACTTCACAGCAAGGTGCTACAGGTCACTTTGCCATTCAAGGTACCAAATATTTGAAAATATCAAAGCTGTTATCCCACAAATATCTAGAACTATTCAAAAGCTATTTATAAGAGGACAGATTTTGTCTGTTTTCTTGTTTAGCATTACTGCATGCATTAGACCATGCTGTTTTAGATTTCCTCTAAGTGATACTGAAAAGAGTATTCAGCACTTTTTACTTCAAGTCATTTGTAGGATGCTCATGTGCTTTTAAAAGAGCTAGTTTTCTTTTCTGTTCTTCAGCAGTTGGTAGAATTACTTTTGTTTGTATCTTGCCCCTTCGCAAGAACATCACTGATGTTTAATCAATTTGTTTTTCAAAGTGCTGGGGGATGCTTAAAGGAAAAGAACTAGAAAGGGCAAAGTATTATTATTCATAGGTAGTCAAGAAACTAGATCATATCTGTAAGAAACTGTGTTTCATTATCCCTGTGGTACTAATAATGAAGCTAGCAGGGACTCAGAATGTGTGATAAACAACTATAAATTATAAGGCCAGAGTACAACTCAGGGAATTCTGGTGACAAAAATGGAAAAAAAAGTATCTCTAAGGAAGAGAGATGTCACCAAAAATGCTTGTGCCTTTGGATCTTTCTATTAAATTGAGTTGAATCTCCTATATCTAGTTTTCTTTGTTTTTCGCCTTCTATAATGTTTATAACAATAATATTCAGTTCCTTCCAAACTAGGAAAATTGATAATGAAAAAGCACAATTCATATAAAAAGGGATAAAGAACAAGAAAAAGACTCATCACTTATTACAGTCTTTTGTAGTTATATTACTTGAGTCACTGTGTAGGTAAAACAGGCACACACCTCCTTYGTGCTGAAGCGAAAAGAGGAGTTATAACACTTTGCCATCCTCAATGGCACCAAGTTTCTGGGGAGTTTGAAAAGGGTTTTGTTTGCCTCATATCAGAACTTGACATTATCTTACCTTTTCAAATACTAGTTTTTCTTCAAAAAGCAATGGAAATGCTGCAGGGACACAACGAGTTTTTTTGTACTGCCCAAGTACAGAGACACTAAGATAGAGCTCCTCTTTGTCTTTCAGAAGCACTCCAGGGCAAGTTATCTGGAAGAGGAACACAGTCATTAAACACACTGAACTTTTGTTATATAAGTAATAGGTTTTCTTTTTTTTTTCTTCTCCAGGATAAGAATGAAATGGTCAAGGCAGAAATGGTGGATTGCTGAGAATTAGATGATAACAGTTTAGAGAGAAAACATTGCTTTTCTAAAGCAGTTCCATTTGTGCAGTCCAATGGGGAAAAATAACCAATATTTCAAAATAACCAGGATCACATTCTTCTTACTGAAGAAAAAAATAAAAAAACTTGTCTCCCTCTGTTCTACCAAAACTGACACGGGTACCCCAATCCCAGGTTAAGACAGTGAACTGTATGGACCAACTATCTTACAGTTAATAATCTAGGGTCATAACAGATTCTACRCAAACTGTTCAAAAGGTATGTTGAAATCTCAGTCTCCTCAAAGACAGCAATAAACTGGTAAATACACATGCTTGGATATTATATTCTATCCCACCACCAGGAAAGGAATGTTTATTTGGAAATACTGTGATTATACTAACTTTCCTTTTAGTAAGCAAACAGAAGGGAATAAGCAGGCGTTGCTGCTTTAGTAGCAATACCTGCCACACCAGTTTTTATCTGAGAACTCTGGCTGCCTTGGAGGGTTCTCAAGGCACACAGGGCTCCTCATTAGGCTGCCAGATATTGCTGCTGTCCTCACAACTTCCCCACTCTGACCAATTCTTATTCTTTGAGTAATAAGAAGCTGGTATGTTTTTAAAGCCCTGATGAACATCACACATTCTCTCTTGTGCTTCTACTGCAAGGTTGTACACAAATCATGACCAAACTATCTGTTATTTTCCACAAGTCACATGGTTTTGTTCTATTAACCGGCAAGGGAATTGTCACCTTTTCACTTAAATTCTATTCCACTGCTCACTTTTTATCGCAGTATAATAAATATGAGGTTGTCTCTTCTAACATAAGGCTGCAGGAGAAACAGTGTTTAGACTTTCAATTGCCAGGCAGAAAGACAAAGSAGTAGAGTGACAGGAATTAAAATAAGTGCTTTGGTTACAGTCTCCTACTCCCAAAAGAACATTTTATTTGAGAAATACTTACTGGATCTAAAACAAAGCTATAGAACAAAGGAAAAAAAAAAGACATAAGTGAAAGAAATTACAGAAACCTATGTATGATAAAGGTAGCATAGCTACAGTATATGCCTAAAAATAATGTTGCTAAACATAAATATCTGAAGGAGAGAGAAAAAAAATCCTTTCTATGTAAATGCACATTTCAAATCTGAAAGAAAAATGCCAGAATAGTATATATACAAATTGAAAAAGACTGCCAGGTCATTAAACAGCTTGTATGGCTCTCAGCTGCAAGTGTGAATAGGACCAACTGAGAGCAGCTGCTTTCAGAGAAGGCAAGCCCCCTCAAASTGCACACAAGCCTATTATGGCAGTTCTGACTATTCTCCTTGACGTTTCTGTAGAATTTGCAATCCTTGTTGGCTTGTGCTTTGTGCCTTTCGTCTTGGAGGACGCAACCGGTATTTGCCCATTTACTGRGCTGAAAAGTGAGAGGCTGGAAGACCTCAGAGGAAGCATCATGTAAACCACACTTAGGTACTGCTCAGGCTGGTCACCCTGTGAAAGAAGCAAGTTCTTACAAATCAGCACGCAGGGCTCAGCAGCAAGGGGGAAACACGTATGTTTAGTACCCTGCAGGAGAACAAAGCACTTCATTGCTTTGGCCATAAAGCCAATCTGTGGAATGGCAGGACTGCTCCCCCCAAAAATTCATCAAGACAGCAAACACTAAGGAGGGAAAGAATATTTGAGTGAAAGGATGGTGTTGACATTAGTATAAGAGGATGTAAGAGGAGGGCATCAGTTGACCAGAAGGAATTTTAGGCTGGAAAGTTTTCAAACCATGACAGGAATGAAGAGCTAAAGAGGCTCCATGGAAGAGAAAGGAGGGGAGTGAAGGAAAAATTAGGGGAGCACAAAAAAAAAGGAAAAAAAACCACTTGAATAGTTTAAAAACAGATTAAGCACACTCATGGAAAGGAGTAGCTGGGAGAAATGGATAACAGTGACCCGACTGAATGACCCACGTCCAACACAGGGCCTGTGGGTAGGGGCTGGAGATTGCTGCTCTGCCCCCGTCCACTACTCCTTGCAGCCTTGAGAGCAGGCTGAATATCAGTTGTCCCACAGCTGCAGAAGCGGGACGCTGGGCAGCAGGGGGAGGGAAAATGACCCCCATTTGTGCTTTTTTTCCATCATATGAAGAACTTCTAGGTGCAGAAACAGAGGAATAAGGAATACCTCACATCTCTCTTCTGGACCAGGGAGGTCACTGTGTCATGAGGACCAGCACTAGCTGCTGAGGCAGCAGAAAGACACGGGCAGGGTGATGTTCTCTCCACCTCCATGCAGAAGTTCACAGGGGAGTTCAGAGCAGCCARCAAGCCTGGCAGCAAGGGCACGGGGGGAATAAATAAGCAGGAACCAGGTCACTTTGCAGCAAGCACTTTCTGAGCCTGCAGTTGCACTTTATTGGGTGGCATCTCAGATTCTCCTGTTGGGAACAAGCACCACAGCAGCACCAGCCCCATGGGCAAGCCTGGGGATTAGACCCGGACCCACAGAGCCAATGGCAGCTGCAGAGCGACCGAGGRCGGTCCATGCCGAGTGATTCTTAACCGGGGCAGGAGAAGCACCTGGATTCTCCCTCCGCTCCCGCTGTGGGTGCAGGGCCCACACGGCGCCCCAGGCGCGCACGGAGCGGTTCTACAACCGTTAACGGCTCCTGGGCAGCCGGGGCAGCTGCGCGGGGCCGCGGCCCAGGCACGGCGCTGCGACAGGCCGGGGAGACCGGCGGGCGGTGCCGGAAGTCGGGCCCGCGCAGGCCGCGCCGCGGCTTCGCCCCCCAGCCTGCGGCCGGGGCAGCGCGAGGGCGGAGGGGCCGTGTCCCGAGCACTCACCGAGCGGATGTCGAGCTGCAGGACGCAGAGCAGCGCCTTCCGCGACATGGGGGGACCGGAGCGGCCGGCGCGGGCCCGGCCCCGGCCCGCACCGCCCCGGCCGCGCCGCGGGCCGCGACGCCGTCGCCACAGCAACCGGAGCACTTCCGGCGACAGGGCGGTGACGCCCCTTCCGCGCATGCGCTTATCCCCTGGCGGGCAGGTCTCATTTCCCAGGAGCTAGCCCCNCAGCACGCAGGGCTCAGCAGCAAGGGGGAAACACGTATGTTTAGTACCCTGCAGGAGAACAAAGCACTTCATTGCTTTGGCCATAAAGCCAATCTAATGTTTCACGTAACTTTAAGCCAGCTCGGAAAAAATAATGTATATGTATAGGGTTTTTGTTATTTTTTTATTTTAAAATTGTGATGTGTGGAGCTGTGTAACACGTAGGAGATAAAGTGAAGCTCTTATTTGATTGCAAACTTTTCAGGCAGAATGAGGAACTACTTAAAAATGAATCAGCCCAGGAAGGGAAGTATCAATGCTGTAATTGTTCTCAAAATCAACCAGGAGGGCTGCTCTTAAAGATGAATAACTGGAAGAGCGTTACCTTGGACTCCTCTGCTGAGATTCTCAGAGGAATGGAAACATGTAGCAGCCCCATCACGGGACATCACGAATGGCCAAAAAGCAATCCCCTGATTTATCGCATGGAAAGAAAGAGAAACCTACTGACCTCCAATTTGATATGACATTCAATCCTAAATCTGTTGCCATGCATATGTAACCAATTAAAAAGGTAGGCCTTAAAAAAGATCTCTTTAATGACCTTTAATATTTAAAAGAGAAAAAGTGCTATACCAAAGGCAATGCACAACATTAACCTCTGTAGAGTGCGAGCTTCCAGGAGGAATAGTGCTTTGGACCTAACGTTGCAAAAGTGCAGATAATGATTCTCCATGTAAAGGAGACCATTCTAGCCTCTCTATCTGGCAGTAACCACAGCATTGGCAATTCATCTTAAGGCTGGAAGCTTCACTATCACTGTGGTGAATTCTCCAAGCAGCAAAGACATGAAGGAGAATGTGGTTTCATTCTGTTGCTACATGAACCATCTCATACCAGCAGCACAGGCAGCAACCAAAATTAATTTAAAAAGCACACAACAATGAATTCCTAGTATGAACAATCACAAGTTATTCAATTTAAATTAATAGCAGAATAAGCGAAATGAAGTCTATAACTAAGGTTTTTGAATTTGAAAGAATAGCCTTTCAGTAATCCAGAAAACTAGTAGAGAAATCAAGTAAAGAGGTCATGGAATCAGATAGGAGAAGATCTTGGAATTTCATTAAGTCAAAGAAGAAGTAAAAAGTCTGCAATATGTATCCTTAGCCAAGGAAAACTTAAGAGGACAGAATTTCTGACACAAGTGGATGGATTTTAGATGAAGTTTAGAAATAAGCAGAGATTTGAAAGAGGAAGCAGTTCTGAGAAATACAAGACTTTAGTCACAAATAAAAAGAATCAGAGAATACAAGTAGGAGTATTACAAATCAACAAGGATCTCAAAATTAACAGGTTCAGCCCACGTACAATTGAATGAAATTAGGGATATGAAAATTGCCCAGTATGCTCCAGACTGAAACCAAAGAGTTAGACTGAATCATCTTCTGCCCAGGTTCTGTCAAGGAATTTGGGATCTCTCGATGGATCTCATATATCATTAAAACTTATGCATGAAAACAAGGATAGTACCATCTGACTAGAAAATGACAAATGCAGGAACAGCATCAGGTGGGGGAAAAAGGAAAAAGATCTGAAAAATTATAGTCTCATCTATCAGAATTTTAGAAATGAAAAGCATAGCAAGTAAAGAATAACAATCAATAGGAGGAAATGGTGACAAAAAAAAAAAAAAACCTCGGCAGTACATGTTCAGTAAAAATAGATCAGTCAAGCACAACCTGACATTTTCTTGAAAGCTTATTTTCTGAGGAAATAATATCTAATTTATTTGGACATCAGTAACATCATATGGTGTCACATGAGAAGCTATTACTAACGATGCTGAACATGGGAATTAGTAATAAAGTCCTAAGGTGGAAGAACACTGGCTAAAGGACAGCATCAATAATGTGCTAAAGTGGAAAGCATCAAGTTGAGGGATGCTATTTAAAAAGTTGTTCCATCTATCCTGGGACCTATCTCATTTTTTAAATGACCTTGGCACAAGAAGTCAGAATACGCTCAGAAAAATTGCCATTTAAAATTCAGAAATCATCAGAGATGGAAAAAGAGATAGAGAAAGAACAGTTTGGGGGACCACAGTAATGGAAATGAGATGCACCTACTGTGTAATAACAAGAGGTTCTGCTTTTAATGGAGGACTCACCCATTAAAGCTGGCTAAAGGGGAAGATAAGCATGTTAATAAATGACAGCCTAACCACAGTGCAGCTGTTAAGAGATGAACACTGGGAGATTTAGGATGGATTTTAGATTTTTTTTTCCCAGACATCATCTAACGCAACAGCGAGCCCCCATCTGGAGTGGCGAATGCAGTTCTGATCCTGATCAGTGCAAATTCAAAGGGGAAGAGCAGCATCCAGGCCTAAGATGGTCAGAAGACGGGTGAGCATTTCATACAAAATACAACTAAAAGAAATGGGCTCGCAGAGGTGAACTGTGGAATGGCAGGACTGCTGCCCCCAAAAATTCATCAAGACAGCAAACACTAAGGAGGGAAAGAATATTTGAGTGAAAGGATGGTGTTGACATTAGTATAAGAGGATGGAAGAGG